GTTTAACGGCACTTGAAACACAAATAGGTCATATAAGCCCCGAAGATTAGAGGTGTTACAAGAGAGTAACATACACAGAAAAGAACGAGGACGATAAGGACGATTGATTGTTATGTTAATAGGGAAAAAAGGAGCAAACCACACCCCAGAGCACCCACCAACCTCCTGCTTGAGTTATGCATGTAAGATTGAAACTGCTTTCAATTTTAATCAGTTTCTCCCAATAGCAAGTTAAAGAACTCTTTAAAACAAAATGAGTGATGTTTTTCTTTTGAAAATCGAACCATCCTTATGGAAAGTGTGCCCGTTTCTTTTTGGGACAATAGGCATGGGACTCCCGACGTCACGCCTATGACGTAATTAAACGGTAAATAGAATTTTACGCTTAAAAGGTACTTGACTTTTATTTTTATATATTGATTCTACATAAAACAACAAACAAAATGATACCTCAATGGTTACGATACAACTATTATTAAGGATTTTTATGACGTTATGAAGCAAAATTTCGAGTTTTGGTGGCACAAAATGCAGTGCAAAAATTTGACAAAATCAGGGCGAAAATCGATTCACAAAAATGGTCGTTGCTTCTGAACAAGCAAAGATAGCACAAAAATTTTAAAAGCTCTGAAAACAGAAAGCCAAGCTCTTTTCAATAATCCAAATTTTAGTGGCCTCGGAGAAGTTTGAAAATTTCACCGAAGTGCCTAGATGAAATCACAGTTCGACGTGATCCTAACTGAGAATGCCTAGATGTGATCTCATTTGACGCGGCCCTGTTGCTCCTCACACCAGTGGCGTGGCGCCATTGGTGCAATTGGTGCAAGCGCTCCACCTAACCCTGGCGTCACCAGTGGCGGCTCGTGTTTTATAGAACTGACCGGCGGTCATTCACGTCGACTATTTTCCCCTCCCCCACCCCCTTCCTTCACAACACACACACACACAGACACAGACACACACACACACACACACACACACACACACACACACACACACACACACACACACACACACACACACACACATATGCTCTCTTTCTCTCTCTCTTTCTCTCTCTCTCTCTCTCTCTCTCTCTCTCTCTCTCTCTCTCTCTCTCTCTCTCTCTCTCTCTCTCCTTATTTTATACCCCTACTTTCGCCATCCCCACTCCCTCCCCCATTCACACACACACACACCACAGTAAACATTGTAATATAATGTGAAAGAGCTAAAATATGGTAGTGTCAAGAAACAATATTATGAATAGTGTAAGATGGAAGTTACTGAGATTATTAGAAACTCACTTGATCGGCACAGAAAAAGAAACACTACTTGAGTCTATGCTAGAAAACAAACTGAAAGTGAGAAGCAATAAACCGCTGGTCCAGGCCTCCAGTACAGTACTTTACTCGTACTTTCTACACCCCCACACACAATATCGACGTGCACTGGACCCGTTAAATATAAGTAATAAGAACTGTCCTGTATGATGACAAAAAGTCAATTGCTACTGTACCTGTGACGCTGTCCCAAGCAGATCAAGTCTATAATCAGATGCTATACAAAGCTGGACAAAATTAGCACACAAGTTTCAAATCATTATATCATCAAATGTACTTCATCGCACTTCTCAGTTCTCAAAATTGAACACTGAACACTGTGTTGTAACAAAGTGGGGAAGTGTGTCAAATGCTACGTATAGAACTTGGTGTCTAGCTGGGGTGACGGTGGATAAGGGGAGGGAAGGGAGGGGGTTTTCGGTCCAGACTCTGACAGCCGACTGCCTATCGCTCCTCTTTAAAATTCTCCTTATATATCTTCACTAGACGATTCCTTCTTTCGCCGGCCAGACTCCTAAGGGCCAGGTAAGTTATTAGCGGGGAGAAAACGATGAGTAAATGTCAAACAGGAACTATAGGTGGTTAGAAAGTCAATAAACAAAAAAGATTAGTGCCATGCTGACAATAAATGTTCTGATAGTAGTTAAAGAAAAGCTGAATGATAAATACATGTTTTGCTGATAAAATAATACTTGTGTCTGTGCTGCTCAAGACAGTCTCATTCTTAATTTTGTAAGCTACAAAGAGGCCAGTCTGACAATTAAGGGATACTGTACTAATCGCTTTGTAAGCTGACGATGGATTTGTCCATGGGACTAACGCTAGGCGATCATAAATATATATGACCGTCTAGGACTAACGTCATCGCTAGGCCTAAGCCCGCCGTGTGTTTGACCCACTGACCTAAAAAGATATATCGTTTTAGGTCAGTGGTTTGGCCTCGTACGTAGTAGCCTACGAAGTTCCACGACGTGACGGCTTGACGGGAGACGATTTAAAGTTACGAGCCGGCGCGATAGCAAACGTGAAGGAATGCACGACAAAACAGCAGTGAATCCCACTTGTCTATTTGAACACCTTCAAATCGGCAAGGTGTTTTTAAATGTTGATACATGTTTGTTTGGATTTACTTAAAACTGAATGAAAATCGTCATCAGCAATAAACCTCTAGTCAACAGTTCAGCTGACAAAAATCTGAACGGCACCGCCGGTCTTGCCCAGTTAACAAACCGCTCCTGGCCGTCACCCTCCCTCCCCTCCCCTTTTCTAATTGTTCTAAACCAGTCAGTGCTCTAGATCTACTTTACATCCTTGCGATCCGTCACCCGCTGGCTGTGCCAGTGTAGAGACAGACGGCGAGGATGGTTTATGCTCGTCGCATCGCTTGCGGTAGTGTCTGCTGGGAGCAAGCAAAATCTTTGCACCAAAGTTATTTTTATCACTGTCACTGTAGAGAAATCTAGGCATCGTTCTTCCCGCACAAGAAGAAAGGTACATGAAACTCCTCTTCACAGCACCAATTTGGTGCAAGCAAAAAATGTGATCCAAGTTTCCGCGAGCCTATCTACAATGTACTACATAGATCTAGAAACTAGTAGTCTACGGTAACTCAATGAAGAATGGGTATCGAAACGTTGTCTCCCTCTATTGCGTAGCACGTCCTGGTGCTGCAATAAGTAATTAGAAATCTTTGAATCTTCTCAGATTGTGAGCATAGTGAGTTGTTAGTATTGTTTCACTTTATTGCAGCTTTTATGGGGTTTCATCTAGACTACAAACAGTAGTAAATATCGATAGATGTAGATTACAGGATATCCTGCAGGTTCTAATTGACTTTCTCTAGAAATTTTAATAGTAGTTACTAAGCCTATTGCCCATTTGCTAATATTCCAATTATGCACCACCTTGTCTGCAACCCACGCGACGCCACTGCCTCACCTTGTTTGCCTCAGTTCGATGTTTGGAGAAATAGACGTCAAAAAGTTCACACCTGTGTGTGATACTTTCGTTGTAAGGCCTTTAAAATTGCGCTTGAGGCGAACATAATACAGTCCGTGCCGGCTATAAGCACGCCGGTTTAAAGCACGTTTCGGACACAAGCACGCTAAACGGCTCTTACCGAATTTTTGCCACATATGTAAATTACACGCCTTTAAGCACGGTAACTTCGGCTTTAAGCACGCTTCATTACAAGACAGTAAATACTTTTATGATGACCCATCGAAGTTCGAACACAGTCTACACCGCA